GCAGATGTCAACAACTGAATTTTGTGATGGTACTGGTCTTATTGATGGAGTTGGGTGTGATAAGGGCATGCCTTCCGGTGTTCTGGATTCTGGCTAGCATCAGTGGGATGAAGCTGTTTGTGCCATTTTGGGGGAGGCATAGAAACAGAATTGAAGGCATGTCAGAAAATTTTGGGTTAAACGGGCATGAATTTAGTTTTCTGGATAACATCAGAGGAGTTGTGGATTACTGCGTGAATTAACAAGCACAATTCTTCCTGAGCTTGGACTTGGGTCACTGGATGATGTCTCGTTTTCAGAAAGAAAACGTGATGCAGTAATGTACTTAAGCTATTCTTTCCTCCAACGATGTTCATCTTTTTATTTTTCTATAGACTAATTGAAAGCAGTATGTCAAAGATATGTCAATATTTTGATTGACAAGTTTGTTCCTTGCCATCAGTTATATACATAAGACAGCAGCAAAACCAACTAAATCTCACCATCGTTCATCAAGTAAAATATATTTCCTTTCATTTACTCATCTCAGGGAAGATTCAGACTGTTATAAAATATAAATGTATTATTAAAAAGATAAAAATCAATGTAATTTTTAAAGGGAATTTATATGTTAAATGGGGCTATTCTTACCTTATTTCAAAACTCAGTAGTTTATTCGGGCATTCTGTGCAACACATGGGTCCCGCACAAGCACCAAATGCATTTGCTGAGCCATTTCTTAACTGCTTCAAACATTGTTGAAAACAAAAGCCTTATTGTATTTATGCATACGATATGATATATCGTATCATATTTAAAGCTTACCTGTGATTACAATGAAAAGGGCATTCTACATGCTGTCATTGAGCCCATTGCATGATGAGGGGTCCATGCTGTAATCTAAATTTATTTTACACTTCTAGCTGAGGAAGAGGAATTGAATTCTCACGCTAGTGGGTTATAACTGATCAGATCGGGCACTCAACTAAGAAACGGCAAGAGCTGTCTTCTAGTCCTTTACGTTAGAGGTATATTTGTGCCTAAGCCAAAGGTGGCGAGTATGGACTGCCCAGGCAGGGTTGGGCTATCTTCACCCAACCAGAGTGGCATGGCTGTGGAGTCACTCCTGTTCTCTAGGCTCTGTGTTTCTGCGACTAACCTTCCCAGGTACTGTGCAGGGAGCCTGAGTGCCTTCCCTGCTTATATGGTTGACATCTACGGTGTAGGAATAGTAGGAACAAACTTGTAGATGCCCATATACGTTTTGTGTCCAGCCCTCTCAGCCTGAGTTTAGGTTTCTGTACTTTTACTTTAAAGGCTGTTGAGATTAAATTAATGAATGTTTCTGATGGTACTTGGATGAAGTAGTTTTGAGCACCTTTGGAAAATGTATGACAACTGGAAGCGACCTGGGGGAATAAGGGTTTGCTGCAGAAGAGTTTTGCAAACGTTAATGTTTGTGTAGTGCTTGATGTCAGTTGTTATCATAATTATTATCGTAATTCCACTGAAATGAACGGAGCCAACTGAGGATCTGCCAAATCCTTTGCTTTCTCTTAGCTGTAAAGTCTCTCCTTCCTTAGTTTAACATTGAAGAAAATGTTTTTGTTCACACCTGTTTAAGTGCATTGCCTGCACTGTTATCTCCATTCAAAATCTCCCAGGTTTTACAGGATTAAAGTGTACATCTAGGTGAGGCTAATATTTAGTCGCATGGTGGTTCCCTTTATTTTCTCTTCTTTGATGTAGCTCCTGTTTCCATGGGCAAATACAAGGTAGATTCTGCACTTCCAACGTTGTCTTAGTCTGTTTCTCTTTCAATGATTGACTCTGACTTTCTGTCCGTCTCTCTTCCTTTCTCCTCTTACACCCTTCAGTGTCAACCAGTTTCCACTATTTGTTCCCATCATGCACTAATCTGTAAGTTTGAGCAAAATGTTGATAGATCAGTTGCTTTATTGTTTTCCATAACATTTCTCTAGGTCCCCCTTTTTCCTCCTCTGGAGAGGATGGCTGCATTCTAACTATTTATTACTGTTTTGGTTATGTCAACAGGACTAAAGAAAGTGTTCTCTCTCTCTCTCTCTCTCTCTCTCTCATTGCAGTCTTGACAATGTACAAATATAGTAAAGGAGATGGGCTACAGAAAGTGTGACCAACTGGAGAAGTTCAGCTGCTGTCTATCCTATCATGACTTTTATTGGCTTTTAAAATTGTTTCTAGGAAATACTTTGTCATATAGCTCCTTATTCCGAAGTTTACACTTCTTAATAACATGTATTTACAACTTAGCATGTTGAAACATATTCAGTTAAAGAATAAAAAAGGTCCTGTCAGCTTAATCCTTCCTTTTTTTTTTTTTTCTTTCTTTTCTGCTGGATCCCAATGTCATATTCAGCCCAGCTGTCAGAACAGAGGTGTTACAGCTCCATACTCTCTTGCCTCCCACATCTCCAAGGCCCATAAATCTTTTCAGCTCTATCACCTTTGTGATATTGCCAACATACAACACTCTTGCTCAATCCACTGTGAAAATTCTTAGTGCTGCCTTCGTTTCCTCGTGTTTGGATTGCTATAATTCACAGCTCTTGAACACTTAACTACTCTAGTGCTCAATAAGAGCAGTACTACTGCAGCACGATGTTATAACCTGCAGTGTTTTGGATCGTGACTACAGTATGCTTTATTTTCTAAAATGTGTGTCAACTTGTTCTCTTCGGCTGTAGCTGAAAACTTGAATTTGTCAGTGTGTTTGGACTAGATTCCTTCTTCTAAATTAGCTTGTGTCAATAACAGTTAATTGCTCCCCAGGCCTCAGGTACTGTGCCAAATAAACCTCAGCTGTATTTTATACAGTAAATTCTTCATTCATTTTTAATTCTAGATTTTTTTCCTCTTTAGATCAAAGATTCCATGGGCTAAATTTTAGAGTGGTAATGCACTCAGAGAAAGACTAAGAAAGGTTAAAATTAGGTGGAAATTGAATACGTACTAATGATTCTGACAGGGAGAAAAAACACATTTTTATAAATGCAGAAATTTGATGCCATTTAATTCTGCTGCCAGAGAGATGATTCAAGTAACTGAAGTTGAGCACAGTTGGACCTTCAGATTTATACTGCTTTGAACTGAAGCGTTTTTATTTAAATACATCATTCATTAGTCCTTTGCGTGTACTGTTAGAAATCTAAGAACTACATAATTTACAAAAAGGAAGACAAGTTGCTGAAGATAATGGGCTAAACCCTCTAATTTCGCACCCCTAATTATGTCTGCAATTGAGTATGGATGATTAAACATTAGCATTTTTACATTTAACTCCTTGCAGGCACAGTTAGATAGAAACCTTCCAGTATTGTCATTGACACTAGATTTTAGACACAAAAACTAATTAAAATATTTTTCTTTCAAGGGCCAAGTGAATTCCTGCTCCATAGTATTGAGGCAGTAGAGTATTGACAGCATACTAGGCTTCTGTTTTATTTTATTTTTTTGTAATAGAAATAACAAAGTACAAGACTGGTGAAATATATGTGTTGTAGACTTGATTTACGTACAACTGTAAAGCATTTTGAGGGCCAGATCTTTGTTGCATGGAAGTTGAGCGTGAGTTTTGCCTTTGACTTTACTAGAGTGAGTAGCCGGACTTCAGGCAAGAATTGTGCTGCGTTGCATGCGGTGCTGCAGCTGTGGAAGGCAAACTACAAGGACGGTAAAGGAGTGTGAAGGGCTCTGTAACCACAAGACTCCTATGAAGGAATTTTCTATTTGCAGCTCCAGAAACTCTGATGTTACGGTCCTCAGTGCTATCAGAAGCCATCTGAAAATAGGGATGCACTAGAGCGTGTGGTGCTATCAAAGTAACAGAGATAACGTTTTTTGAAATAGAGTGAATTTCAAACATGCCAAGTAGAAGTGAAGAAATCTCAGGAGTACTTAAAAAGAAGCCAGTTGAAGTAACATGTATCTTTTGGGCCCTCTGTCAGTTTAAAATTCTGATGGAAGTAAAGGGCCTTAAGTAAGTTTTAGCTTCATAATTTGCTTTGACACTTTTTACATGTTTTCCATTTCCCCTCTTCTATGCTTTTCAGCCTTCACAAGTCCTGTTTTCATTCACTTGGGCTTAGGTCAATCCCGACTCAATATCTTAATGCCATAATAATTCCTCAGAGGGCAGAGAAGTGAGTTTGTGATTAAGGCACTGACTGTGGACTTTAAGGCCATGTTTGTACTAGTAAGTAAAGCAGCCCAGGACTGTTCTCTGGCTGGAAGGCCACCTGACCTGCCATGGCTTGTGTCCTTGCAGCTAAATTCTCTTACCCCCCTAAAACAGGGTGACCTCATCCAAACTTAAGAAAAATCCCCGGCCTGTGTTGCTTGGCCTTTGTCAAAACCATGCCTAAACCCACGCTAGCGGTTTAAGAGTAGTAGTGTGCACACGTGTGCCTTTGGCCTTCTTTAGTTTGTGACTGTGGATGTAGCCTAAAAACGTAGGTTCTTGGCTGCACTTTTTAGTGCAATCTCTATTACAGGTTTTCTCTGTAATTTTATGCAAGTTATTTAACTCTCAGGCCCTATGATAATAAAGTTTCCCAAGATCTGTCAAGGTCTTCAAACATTGTATTTGTGTAAACAGACTAATGGTAAAAACATAGGATTTACAATCTTCAATGAATAAATAGAAAATGAAACCAGACTGAGGAGAAATTCTTCTTTAAATATCTCCAAAAGCGACAAACTAAAGAACTAAAAATACTGGCTGTTTTCGTGTATATTTATTTTTATAAGTTATTTCTTCTCAGATATTTGTAAATTTGAATGAAAACTTTCACATTGGAGCATGCCACAAAATAACCACGCTTAATGCAAAACTTCTGTTATTATTTAGAGAGCTTAAGGCAATAAAATTGAAGGTGTAACGTACAACATTGTTCTGTTTATCAAAGATTTATTTAATTAATCCACCAGTTAGATTAAGAGTAGGAATTTTACACTTGAGTATTGCATTGATTTTTGAGGAAATGGTAAAGCGGCAGCGTTTTGACAGAGTGCTGTATAGAATCAGAGACTCGGGGGCCTCAGGCGGTTTCCAGTCTAGCCCCTCCTCAAAGCCAGGCCAACACCAGCTTCAGTCCTGGCTGCTCAGGACTTTGTCCAGTCAGGTCTTGAAACTTCTGAGGATGGAAACTGCACAGCCTTTCTGGGCAAGTAACCTGTTCCAATACTTAATTATCTCCATAGTGAAAACATTTCCTTAAATCCAGTCAGTACCTCTCCTGTTTCAATTTACGATTGTGGTTTCTCGTTCTCCTGGATGCACCTTGGGATAGAGCTTGACTTTGTCTTTTCAGTAACCTTCTCTTAGGCACTGGAGGGCTGCTATTAAATTCCTCCCAAAGCTTCTCTTCTCCAGGTTAAAGAAGCCTAATTCCCTCAGCCTTTTTTCACAGGGCATGTGTATATTGTATGGGCAAAACCTGTTGCCATGGTAAATATGTATTAAAAATATTTTAAAGGATTTGTGGATTTCTGTCTCTTCCTGTGTGTCAAAGCAAGATTTTAGTGCTGGAAAAAACTTTCAAACATCTTTTGTCTTAAATTTTAACACACCTGATGGTTTTAAATGATTTTTTAATTTATACTTCCTAGTTGCCAAATACATTCCCAACAAAAAAAGAGCACTGACCCCTACTGTGTGCGTAATGTTTTGTGAGTTCTTAAAACCCAGCTAAGAGAAGATGATACAGCATGTTGAAGGTTTTCATAGGCTTCTGAAAACATCCTTCTTACATCCCGCATACTGGTCTGGTCTCATCTGGTAGTAACACAAGAATAGGTACAGCTGGAAAGAAGGAGAGGAACTCCAATGTTTCTGCTTGGAAATAGCCATTTGGTGCCATGGAACGCTCCCCACCCATTGCTTGCTACCTTAGGCCATTGCCCTGCTCCAGTCCCTAACCATCATCCATTTGGGTTTTTTCCTGCCATCCATTTTGCTTGTCAATTTAGCACATTTACTTCTTTTGGTGCCATGTGGCTCCAGAGGAACATCCCTCTGAAGGAAGTATTTCTTTAAAATGGTTATTTATGACCTATATTTTTGATTTACAACAGAATCCACAACGCTTTTTAGACAGAGTTAATATAGCTGAAAATAAAAGATGTGATGCTTGTTGGTTATTTGGCATTTACAGCCATATGCAAGACTACATTGGCAAGGGAATTTAATCTCTCACAGCGATTTATTGAAGTCTGTATGTCTTTTCCTTTGTATTGCACTTGCAGGTGACAGAGAAGTTTAGTTGTGTTGGTTGTGTTGATAGAGCTCTAGCTTCTAAGATAGATGGCTGTAGATTAAATCCCCCTGCAGTCCTTAACTTTTATGGAGCACTGTTCCAATAAGCCCTCCTTGCAATGAAATACTAAACTAACTCTGTGGAATCTTTTAGAAATACATTAGATAAGAATGTCCTGGCTCACTTTTCTGATCCACATGCGACATGGTATTTGTAAGACCTGCCTCCGCTGGTATAAATAGCACATTCTAACATGGGGGCAAAGTAGCTTAAGATATGGCCTACTAACATGGCTTAATGCGGATGGCTTCTGTAGATGCGGAAGTTCATTTGATCAAGATAATTATTGACAGGAAAACAAGTCATGTTACAGACAAGGTCTAATCCATCTTATACTTGTTGCAATAATTACACCATCAGCATCCAAGTCATTATTTTACGAACTGCATGCAGATAGCTTAGGCAGTAGAGTGTGTTTGTATTTGTTGTGTGTGCACATTTGCTTTTATTTCAAAACCAGTTATCTTGAAAACAAAATATCTCTGATTTGTAATGACTGAGTAATAGTTTAGCTGGTTTTCATTTTTATCTGTATTATTTCCCTGCAGGTCAAGGCAACAGACGCAGATGCAGACCAGTTTGGTGAAATTGAATATTCTCTTTATGATGGATTCCATTACTATGAGAAATCTAAGGCGTTCCAGATTGATCCACATACTGGTCAAATCTGTGTGTCTCAAGACATTGACAGAGAGGAAGATCCAACCACTTATGATCTCTTAGTAAAAGCTACAGATGGGGTAAGTTTCACCCTTCCATACTGCCAGACTTGTGAAAGGATTTTCAAATTTGGATATGCTGTACTTTTAAATGAGAATGGAGTAAGTGAAACTTGCATGATTTTGAAATAAATTTATTACTACTATAGGGGGCAGAATATGATACTTCACAAAACATAACGTAGAACAAAATCCAACAGGAGTCATTTTGACCTCAGTCGATATACTGCACTGTGAAATTCACAACCATTCCTAAACAAGTTGTTCAAAAGCATTTCCAGGAACTGTTACTTCTTGCTGTTTTCCTTCTCCTCTTGGAACTGGTGCACTTCAGGTTACTTCTCCTCCCGATTTAAAGATGGCTGCACCACTAATAAACCAGTAATTTGTGCCAGAACTGCATGGGTAGAGTGGGTGCCAGTAATTATTTTTCTGGATAACCTTCCTTGTCCTTTCTAGCTAGCTGATGCCATTGTTGCCATCGTTGCGGCTAGATACAGCCTCTGTTCAGTGGCATGCCTGCAAGTTTTCCCACTTTTCAAGAGCTAGTGCTTGGAAGCAGGCATCCACGATACAGAGCAGGCGGATTGTTGTATGTGGCAAAGAGGAGCATGCCTGAGATGGTCCATTGCAGATCCCTAGTTTGCAAGAAGGCTGAGGATGAAGAGGCTCTGAGGAACTTCACTAAGCACACAACTTTGTGTGAGCTTGCACTACGTTGGCAAGTAGCGGGGACTAAGAAATTGGTTTGTTTTTTTACTTAAAACTGACTCTAGTCTTAATCTGTGAACTGAAAGCCCCCTTGCAGCTGAAGTGCATTAACTGCAGTAAGTGCATTCCTGAAGCATGTCTTTCATTTAGTTTCAGTCTAGTTTGTGTACTTTGAGGCCAGTTGACAATGTGAACCAAAGCACAGTAAGGGAGGACAGTCAGGAGATTTGGCTGAAAAGTATTACTAGTCCCACTGAAACACTAATGCAGATGCACAGAGAACGTGTTGCTGAGGCCTTTTCTTCAAACGCAAAAGTTCATTGTGATGGGAACACATCAGGATGTTTGGGTGTGGAGACCTGTTCTACAGGGTCACCTATAACAGTGTATTTTAGTAAAGTGACTAGAAGAAAATAGTTTGTAGGTTCGTTGTGTAACCTTGATGAAAGTATCCAAAAGCTACTTGCAGTGAGAGGCCTAGAAGAAGACCAGCCAGGATTTTTTTCAGCTTTAGTAGTGAACCATGGAGAGGCTGAAGAAAAAAGGTTACTGGTTTAACATTGCAAATCTTAAAATTAACATGAAAATACTTTTTAAAATTTATGGATTCCTGTTATGTAGATCATATTTTTGCAGCACAAGTTGAGCTGTGAAACATTTAAATTAAATTATTTCAGGTTAAACCATTTTTATTTCATATTTTAAATATTAAATTTCCATTTAAAATTTTGTCCTAAGTATATCCAGTTTAATTTTGAAAAGTGCAGATCTGCTAGAAATATTGTATTTTTCTTTTTAAAAAAAGAAAACTTTTCATTAAGTACACCAAAGAAACTTGGAGAAGTAAAATTCCTGTGTTAATTAGTAGATGAATTTAAATAGCTGTGGTTGATGCTTAGTATTAATTGTTGCATTTTGAGAATGTAGTATTCAAAGGTATATTTGTATATTGTTGAATTTGGATGCATGTGTAACAGTTAAGCAGTGCACCTGCAAAAATCAGAGGCTTAATTCACATCTATTTAGGTTTAATTCACATCTATTTTTTTCTTTGGCTACAAATACTCAGTGATTATTTCAAAGGGCACAGACACATTCTTCTGCATTAATACTGCCTTTAGCACTGTGCCTTTTCTTCTCCATAGATTTATTTTGAAGAAAAAGAATAATATAAAAATATCTTTTTTTGTTGTTGTTTCCTAACATACAACTATATCTTACTTGAATGCATGATAATTTCAGAATATTAATTCTTTTTGTTAGGACAGTGTAGTCTTTCCAGGAAAAGTATATTTCTATACCCTTTTTGGAATTTCTCTGTGAAGTGATTTCTGTCTTCAAAGTTCCTTTCTAGGAAAAAAATGATAACATACACATGAGTACACATTTCTAAGCCCTGAAGAATAAAGGAGTCAATATTACAATGTATAACAGAAAAAAATTATGTATTTTTTTATGCTTCATCATTTTTCTCTCATGTATTTCTAATGCATATTTTGCACAAGGCCTCACATGTTTTGAAGCTGAATAAGCATGAAGAATACATACAAATACCTGGAATATCAAGATTAGTCTTATTAATAAAGGCTAAGTGAGAGCTGAAGAATAGCACTCTAAGTTGTACAGGTTTCTCACATTTCCTTTTACTCTGCTCTAGAAGATTATTTTGAAAATGTAAAATAAAATAGGTTTATTTGAATAAGGCAGTTGCGTATTTTGGTTAATTGATTGTTACAGTGATAACTTTTATGTCAAAAGTTGTAGGAAAAATGCCAAAGCACAGCAATTGTAGATTATTTCATTTTTAAATTGGTCTGTGATTTGTCTTCATTTGGGGACCTTATATTTTCAGAAGTTCAGTAATGGGGAGGAGAATTCAATTTTTGATTGTCTTGTCTGTGACAAGTAGGGCTTTTATTTATTTATTTATTTATTTATTTATTTTACTGGAACTCAGTACTTTGTAGCTCACATTGATTTGGCTTCTGTAAGTTAGGTCATCTGACACCTAAATACTAAAGCACCTAAAATTAGTATTCACTTTTCAAAATTTTCAATATACCTGAACTGATATTGAGCCATGTACCACCCTTACAGCTGAATTATGGTAGGATATTTTACCTCCTGGCATTCTACTGCTGATTTTGATTGATTAAAGACATGTTGGGTATGGAGTTTAAAGTGGAGACTGTGATCAAAAGTAGGGAGAAATGTGTAGAGAAAAGACAGAGGAAGAGTGAGAGGTCACTGTTGTCAAAGGAGGGCAAAGAGATGAAAAGGAAAGAAAATAAGAAAGTTAATTAGAAACGAGGAGGAAAAGAAAGTATTTTCCAGGTGGTGCTCAGTTTATCTTACAGCAGAACCATCAATTTCTTCCACCTGTTTATGTCTACTCCATTACACGGTTTTGGAGCTTGACTGCCCTGTTCTTAAAGCACTGTTTAGAAACAGTAGTGGGAGGATTAGAATTACCTACAAGTGACCATGGAAAAGCAAGTGTAAAATTGATTTTGTTAAACTAATGCTCATAAGGTCTAAACTTCTTGTGAGAGCTTGTAGGAGGTCTGTCGCTGATTTAAATGGGGACAAGACTGATCATAATGTTAGCGTAAGCTTTTCCAGTTGGTAGCACTCATTTTGATCCCAAAGTCACTTATCCCTCATACATATCTATGATTGGCCTTCAAAACCAAAATGTTAAAGTTGCACAGTCTTGGGGTTGGTGCCCAACGAGGGGCTTTTATGAGAGTGTCCAACTTAGACTCTCTGAGGACCTGGCCCTTACAGTTTTGTCCAAAGTATGCCTTGGGTAGACTGGATAATCTGCATTTGTGAATGTTGCTGTCAGGCATGGCACAATTCCAGGAACAAACATCTCTCTAGGTAACACACTGCACATACCAGCGCACCATCTTTCTTCACCACTGTGGCAGGAAGTTGCAAAGACTGCAGCAAGGCAGGAAATACTTTTGTTATTTGTGCTCCCACACTGCAAGGAATTCCTCACCCAGTTCTCACCAAGGAACAATTACATGCGTCATTAAGAGCTAAAATTCGTCTAATCCCAGGTGGATCCATGTGGCTACAGCCTGTGCCGTGTTTAGTTTATGCAGGGAGTGTGGGCCTTCTTGCTGGGAGCCTGCTCTGACATTGCCAGACCAGCAGCCATGACCCTGTCTAACAATCAGCTCTGTCAGAGCCCCCCTCCGGCCCCTTTGCCTCCATCCACCAAAGGGTAGAGCAAACAAACGTGCAGTTTTCTTAGAACAGCTGCGCTGTGCTTGGCCACAAACATACGTACAAGTGAAACAGAAAGATCTTTATTAGGACATAAAGTAATCCAGCTGAAGAGCACCCACCCTTCCCCCTTATTCCTTCTCTCCTCTTTTCTCACCTCTTCCTTTTTCACATACACACACTTCCAAACCAGGATTACTGTGCTCTCCTGAGGAAGAGGGAAGGGTAATACATAACCTGTAAAGTGTTGTCCTATGCTCCGCTCAGGCTGCTCACTGGTTTTGGGCACTCATCAGAGTTGCCCAAACATCATGTTGCGAAAACAGTATGCTCACTATCCCCAGGTGTCCAAGTACCACTTTCGGGGATAGCTGCGTCATAGTAGCCTCTCCAGTCTTGCCCTGAGATTTTGTAGAAAAGCTGCAGGTACCACTGCCCCTGCTGGAGCTGCAACGAAGGGCAACTACAGAAGGGGAATTGCGAAAGTCTCCGTCTCCCCGCTGCTTGGGGTTGTCTCAGTTCTGGCAACAACTGGTCAGGTGCTTAGCAGTAAGTGACACACTGACTTTTTCATTGCGTTTAAAACAGACAAGGCCATCCGAAACCTGCCTAGATCGTCTTTAGCTCTACATCCCTATGGAGCCTCTCTGTAATAGACAGTGAGGTCCTGTGTTGGAAACACATGCTGGGCAGCAGCAGAGTCTAGGAGGAGCCAATATGCTGTAATGAGAATTTAGATATTTGCGGTTTTAGGGCTTTTGTTTTTTCCAGCCTTTTCCCTTTACAGAGTGGACTACCTTGTTTCTGTTTTCTCCCAAGTGCGGTGCCTAAGTGCTTTGATTGGACTGCCCTTAGAAATTATGATTTGAAGGTTGTCATTGAATAGTGATAGGAGGCTTTTTGGTGAGCTGCTTTGAAAATCTGTGCTGCAGTGGCTCCTCCTGATTTTGTCTATTTTTCCTCAGTTTTTGTCAGTGTAGGCCTGGTTCCATTAGGTTCCAGTTTCACCGTAATCCAAGATTCACTAGCATACAGTGCCTCAGGTAATTTCTAAAGTACCACATGCATCTGGATATGCCCCACAGTTGCTTTTTTTTAATAGGAAATGGCCACTATAGGCTTATTCTTTTCCTGAGGCCTTTGTAAACAAGAAGAGAAAGATGGGACTTTTTGTTTGTTATGATTTTCTTTTTATTCTGGACAGCAATCACAGCTTTTAGAGGTGGTCTGGGATGAAGACACTTCAGGGCATACATTTCACATCCTAACTTGCTGGCCCAGGGAAACCCTCTAGCTGCTAAAGTCCCACTTTGACACACACAGGCGTACTGTAATGGTGCTTTTCTTTTTCCCCAGCCTGTCTGCTAGCCTTTGCCTGCACTAAGCCCTTGATTTTACACCATATTTTCCTAAAGGGAAAGGGCATCCTTATGTTGTAGGACAAACTTATGAAAATACTTTCTGCCTGAGAAAGATTGAGAGGAGCCAAAGAGGCTCTGCCGGTTATCTAAGTTTGTGTTTAGATAGATTCCAAGGAAAGTCTAATAATACTGAAAACTTAGTGGCTCTCCTACTGTCTGTGTAGAGAAAAAAAGAATTGTTCTTGAGATCTTTTTTTGCTTTTTGGTAAACCACACCGCATGGCTTGTCCAATTTTCTTTGTCTTTTAATATGAAGCAATTAAAACATAGACATAGCCGCTCAACACTCACAGGCAAAGCTTCTAAAGAAGTTAAGGCTTTTGAAATAACTGGCAGTATCTGTCCCTTTCCATCATGACAGCATTGTAACTTGAAGTTGGCATAGTATCTTTTAGGTTTTACAAAGAAAAGAAGATATGTCTTTGTATCAGCGATCGGGTATATCACAGTTCTGTTAGGAGCAAAAATTTCACAGCACAATTCACTGATGAAAAGGTTGGAGGCCATAGTGGAAATCCTGACAGATTCTTAAGCATTTTACAATGTGTCAACAAGAAGAAATACAGCTATTCAAAACAGCACCATTCCTACTTATTAAGTTAAAGAATCTCTCCCGCCAAAGGCGGGATTTTTTTTTTTTTTTTGGAAACATGATAAAGAGCTATACTGATAGCTTTGTATTTTCGCACAAACTGGGTCCTGCCAAAGAAAAGAAAATCTCTACTTGTGGTTATCTTGACGTGGTAGTAGTTTCTTATGTCTGCTTTTTGTTCCACAGATCACAAATTCTTAGAATTCTTACCAAAAAAAATTGTAATTATGTTTTCTTGTTGCATCAAACGGCACAATAGTAGTTAAAAATATTTGAACACTTGAGAGACATGATTTCAAAACAAGCAACTGTGGTTTGTTGTTGCTTCTAACATGTTTTGACAAATGTAATTTTCTTTCAACAGCAGACGTGTTAATTCAGTCTTCATATTTTGGAAGATCTACTGTGTCATGCTTGCTTCTGAACAGATGAAGTATATCCATGTGGTTAGAAACAGAGGCAGTCAATTCCTTCTCATTTGGGATGCTACTTGAAAATTATCGTAGCAAGAGCAAGTTTAAAAGAAAACAAAAAGGTTACATGATATCCACTGTACTGGACCGTAACCAAATTAATATCCCTCTTGACTTGTGTGTAATGGGGATACAATGCTTCTTCAGGAAAAGAAAGATCTGTCTCTATCATAAAATGTGGTCTATCTTCTGAAAGATTAAACAGTTAGTAGCTCTCCAACTTGCTCAGAATTAATCCATTCCCAAAGATTTTACAGTCTTTACCCAGCTCCATAGGGGAAGTATAAATTTGCTGGAGAGCAGGGTGTTTTTCATGTCTGTTTAGCAATAATGATACTTGGAAGAAGCAGTTTAACACAAATTCCCATGAGTTTTGCAGTTTAGTTCTTTATGAACCTTTTCCTCTTTTTTAATGCTTTTTGTTATTGACCTCACTTCTTCCTTGGCACGCTTCCCTTAAAAATACTGTTTCTGATTCCTATTCTAAAGTACCTGAGAGTTGTGGAGCCACTGTGGTGAGAACATCTTCTGCTAGTAGTAGGCTTGAACAAAGCACATAGGACCCCCCTTTCAGTCCCTGCGCAGGGACTCACCCTGAAATGGGATTGAGGTGTTGACAGTGAGCCCACCAGATCTGCACGTTTCCACATCCTCTAATAAGTAAAACATTTCACGGCTATTTCAGCAGTTTGAGGCTGGTGCTGGCACAATGCACCATACAGTCTCGATCCGTAGGTGCTCATTTTGGCTGCTGGCTGATTCCATGTCAGTATGAGACCCTAGACCTGAAAGCACGCCATTCCACTCCTTGTCCTTTTTTTCTTTGGGTTTTGTTTTTTTTTTTTTTTTCCCCAAACATACCAGGAGGACTTTCCTCATTCGCATATGAAATAAAGAAGCAGGCTGCATGACACAATCTTAATTTTCCACAAACTTTACTTGAGCTTTTATAGCAATGTCACTGCCACTCCACAGAGATGACGTTAGTACATGGGAGAAAAAAAATGCAGGCCTCTGTGAAAATCCAGAGGAGAATGCTATTGACATTTTTTCACAAAAATTAAGTCTGAGCCTGTGGAGGTAACAAGCAAAACATCAAAAGTAGTTTTGGGGGGAAATTCAAATACTGTGGGACAAATCTATAGTAGTATCCAGTCTGAATCATTAGGTGACTTCATGAAGGCCAGGTTTAAAAATAATTGGCATATAAATTAGATTTCAGAAATACGTAGCATAGTTGCTTTTATATAATAGCTATGATGTGGTATGATATGATATGGTGCCTGCTAGATTAAGTCTGGAATTGCTCAGCATAGCTTGTCATTTATGCTTACCAACATCCCATTTGTGTCAGCAGTTTCTGTAATTAGCTAATTCATATAAGCACAGTGCTGTTGGCATGATTTTGAAAAGCATAAGCCTCTTTTTCCATCTGTGTCTTAATGTACTGTTTATGGTGTGTGTGATATATATGTGCATTTATTCTTTCATGCCTCCATTTTACACTTCAGTGCCATAGAATTCACCGTTACCTGGTCCGGAAATGGAGCTATTTTCTTTTAAAGAATGCCTTTGGTTGTTGTTACGCCTGCACAGATAACCTTGGAAATATCAGCCACTCCAAGCTGATGGAGAGAAAGTCAACAGGGAGCATGAGACCGTGGCTCTGAGCAGTAAATTGCTTTTTATTTCACTCAGGGCCGTGTAGTGTCTGCACTTCAGCAGCTATGGCATTATCATTTTTCCAAATTGTCACAAAATTCGGTGTTTTGCCACAGCAAATAAGGATTTTGCTGTTGCATAATTTGCTAAGCCAGCTTGCAGTTGCTTCTTGCTTTTCTGGTTTCCATGCAAAGCAAGGTTAAATGGGACTCTGTGCCTGCCCACACAGCGTTATAGTGGGGAGGGAGTCTTGGTGAGCACCAGTAGCAGGAGCTGCAACCAAATGGAGAACAGCATAGCACCTGGGGCTTGAGGCTGGGAAGAGGTAAGTTACTGAAGGTGCACACAAGGCCTCTGGCTCTTTTCCCAGCTGTTTGTGAAGGAGGAAGAAACAAGAGCCAGGAAGTTGAGCCAAGCTCCCTGGAAAGGATGGTGAGACCTCTTTCTCTTGAAAGTTACAAATAAGCTTGTGAATAAAATTACATAATCGTTCACAAATTTTACATCAGCAAATCTGTTCAGCTCGGTATTTCTGTTGAATTTGGTAGCCTTCTGCCTCTATATACCCAAAGCGAAGGTGTGGATACGTAAACACACACATATGCTGCATGAGCAGAACTATTTAAACCTGTGCAGGGTGGTAAACTGATGATCGGTTTTCCAGGTAGCAGCCTGACTACTAGGCTTTTGGCCATCCTGCACTGATCTGCTCTTAGCCTTTCTAATCGATGTTTGAAATGGTCTCATATTCACTATTATCATGGTGATGCTTTTAAATCTGAAATTTTTCATAGATGAAAAAAATTATTCCTGCCTTACTGGAGCATTTTCCATAATCACTGCTCTCATAAGGAAATAATAAAGCAGCCTGGTCTCTCATTCAGTTAGTGGATACTCTCTTTTGATCAGGTAATAAATAAAGTGTTGTGTAGGTGATAACCATAAAAACATGTGAAGCTAGACTAACAAGGAACTGATATGGACAACACTCATTAGTATTAACAAGAATTTTGTGTTCAACGCTCACAGTCATAACAAACCGAACTTTTTGCATCCTATTTGGTAGCACACTGGGGTTGTTCTGATGATGCATTTTGCCTAAACTCAGTATTTTGGGATTTTGTAGACAGCATAAGTTATTTTTAATAAATATTTCCATTGCTCAGTACTGTCGCAGTGTGCTCTTTGTTCTAATGATGGTCTTAAGCCAGATCTGTGTCATTCTACTGTATACATTTTAAAAGTTGACAATTTTTTTTTCTAATTTATCCAACAGGGTGGACTGAGTGCCCAAGCTTTTGTTCGTATTGAGATAGAAGATATTAACGATAATCAACCAATTTTTGAAAAAGCCACCTATGTGACAAGCATCAGCAGTCACACACAGCCAGGAACAGAGATCATCAATGTTGTTGCAACAGATAGAGACTCTGGAATGTATGGAATTGTCACCTATGAACTGGTCCCAGGGGAATTTTCTTCTCTTTTCACAGTGGATACTTTTACAGGTACTGTAAGAGTATATGATTCAGAGAGGCTGTAATGACAGCATATATTTTTTCTTGAAGATGGTTTCTTCATTTGGAGTCATGTCATACAATTGAAAGTTAGATTCTGCTGAAAAATAATTGTAGAGGAAGTTGGAAGATTTAGAGTTAACATAAATCTGTGCATTTCTCTCCTTCTAATCTTCCTTTCCCATATTGTGCTAGCATAATTTGCCCGTTCTGCTCACCGTTTTGTAACATCCAACTGCCTTCCTGTTTGACTTAGTGATTAGCTTCCTAAGTGTCTTTTCCTGCCGTTACTTCCTGATATGATCCTTCCCAATTCTGGTTTCTGGAAAGAGGTTCAATGAAGGTGTGACAATAAAGGTAGGAAACAATTTTGGTAAAAGCAAATCAGGACGAATTTTTTCTAAGACAGATTAAATCTCACAGTCATCGCTTTTCTCATGGCCAAAAAGCAGTCCAATATAGTTTTTTTCTGCTCTTAAATAGCTATCAGTAGTTCTATCTAATAAATCTAAGTATCTAATAAATAATTATCAGTGTCAGATGGATTAAGCATGAGCAGTGTATCCACAAATGTCCATGGTATCTTTCAGCAAGTGCTTAGTTAAACAGCAGCTAACGTTTTACTTGAAAGCCAGCCCTTGCATACTACTATGAATATGTCCCAGTCAACAGTATTGCTTCCTAATCATCTGTTATTTCAGATAAATTAGCTTTGGCACAGAGGATTATTTCATATGTTTTAAGAACATTTGGGGATGTTGTATGTGTGTGCTTATATTAGCTGTTTGGCATGTGAATCATTGTAAGGCTACGTTCTCAAAATGGTGCCTGTTTTCACCCTCTTACACAGTTCCAAAAATATTCTGATGAACAGAAGAAACTAATCTTCTCAGGAAGTTGGCCCGCTTGTCTTGGCTATTTCATAATTTCCTTTAACTGTGGACTTCAACTGCCTGTCAACTCAGATTCTCTAGGGCATAACTGATGCCAAAAATATATAGGTCAATCAATAATTAGGGAACTGGATCTCCACAAGCGTTTAAGTGATCATTTTAAAGCTGCACCAGTAGGCTTGTCAGAGAGAGCCCCCATGGATTATGCTAGAAGAATTGGCTTTGCAACAGCCTTTCTTTTGAAGTTCTTCTTCTTCAGCTTGTGAGTTTTGGGCCTTTTGTTTTTCTTTTACTTTTGGCACTTGTATAGGACAAATGTTATCCTTAATCAGGAAGACCATGGAAGTTATCATTATCTTGTGGAACTATCATAGTATTTTATCGAAGGCAGACCGAATTCTGGGTGAAGTAGCTTGAGGTCATTATTGCTTGCATTTCTTGATGAGAAAAGCATTTAGGTTGAAGATACTGTTCCCAACATTATAGTGCTTGGAATCTGATTGCACTTAATCAGCTCTCATGGGTAATTCATGAGGTCAGGCTGTGTTTTATTTTAAGTTATTAATATTAACGGTGCATGTTTTTTGTGAAGAATACCCTTTTTCCTTTTGTGTTCTTCAATGTCTGCCTGAAACGATGCTTATGCGTAGTTGCTGGCAAGCAATATGATTATTAGATCATTTGGCAATATCTAAGTAAAAAAAAAACATTAAAATTGCCAATTTACTACACAGAAGTTCTGCAATCTTCCCGGGTTAAATAGCTGTGAAAACTGTTCAGTATTCACAGAAAGAAGGAAAAAAGCGGTTCACTGTGATGACACAGAGATTCAAATTCCTACGTGTTATTTGTTGTTAGGGTGGTGACCTTTTCCAGTTTTCCTCTTGCTCAAGCTGTCTCCCAGCTCTCTGACATATGTCCTAATTTAGATTTGTCTCTCTGAAGGTTATATGAGGGACTTTATCCAGTTGTTAGGTGGACTGCATTTTGTGAACAGAAGGAGATGGACAAATACAACTAGAAATAGAAATTCTTCAGGATATAGAGCCCTAAACCCATTAGTCAAACAAGATCATATTTTACTCCTTAGTTTTCTGATCTTTCTTGTGGAAGTATAGTCTGTGACTGATGTGTTCTGCAGTTTTTCCAATTAGTAGTGTGGCAAATCCTATTTCATTTGCTATTTTCACTACTAAAGGACTTAAAAGGAGGCATAGTGATGGTGTTGGAGTGTTCTGTGAGTTTACCTTCCTAATAAGTTTTGTTTTTTAAATGAGTAATTTTTTTTCATTAAGAAAGTATTTAGAAATGAGGAATGAGAATCAGTACATTGGTCTTTTTGACTTACTTTATTCATTATAGCCCTTAGCATTATATGTGTAAATGGACAGAAAATTATTTCCAGTATTATGAAATGAAAATTACTTACTACTTAATGGTTAGTCACATTAGAGTAAAACTATGATCCATTAAAACCATATGCAAAATGAAGCTACTCTCCATGCCAAATATAATTTCTATTTTATTGAGTGTAGGTTGTGTATTTGAAATTTCATCTCATTGTAGTTTTCTTCGAGGTTGTTTCTGGAATGCTAAAGATTAACTTTTTCTCTCACTTCTCTTTTATGTTTATTTTTAAAAGAGAAATGGATAAAGGAGTTAAAACTATAGCTCAAATTTCTCACTCCTGTAGCTTACTTCTAGCTGTTGCTCTGTTCAAGCAAATAGGTGGCTGTATGAAGAAAACACTTTGTTTTGCATAGTGAACTGTTGTCACAGTACAGGGTGTACGTGGCCTGGAGATCATACAAGATGGTTAACAACTGACTGTATAGAATATGTTAATGATGCTTTGGAAATGTAGAGATTATGAGGCTGAGCCGCATCCAAGCTCCTTGAAGAGGCTACAGCTTTTTTTCCAGGCACCGTGGCATGTGGGTATCATGTACAGATAAGTTTAATGGGAGTGGGAAGGAAGAACCATTCATAGGGCAGATAGATACTCCATTAAAACAGTTCTTTGAATTTTATAAAGCTCTTAAATGGTGATATTTATTTGCTATTTTGGCTTTTAGGTACTGTATTGTTTCTGATCTGCTCTTACACTCTTTAAATAACTTTTATTGCATTTTCCTTAGAGAAATAATTGAAATTAGCTATTTTTCATGTGATTAATGATAGACTACCCACAAGATAAAACATTTTTAAAAGTTTGTAACTAGAAAAGTACATGGATAGGGGAACTGTCAACCAGTTTCTCTGCTAGTTTGTGATTCTTTCACTGTTGTATATTTCTAGTGTTAGTGTAAACAACATCTTGGCCTTATTATATTTCCTTTTGTAGCTATTTGATCCATGTGTGATCTACGAACAGCACTCCCAAACTGACTAGAACAGAATAAGTTGAAGAGCTCTTCCAGCTAAGAAACTGAGCTATGTTTATTTTCCCATCATTAGCTAACAAACTATCCGAAAGATAGTTTATTTAAAGTTGTGGCTGAGTAGGTATTTAATAATGCAAGTCACAGGATACAATCAGAAATGTGGCAGAAGACCTGTGCAGTGATTAACTTTAAGAATTGGGGATTGACAGTATAATTTATAAACTTTCATCATGCTACAAGCATTAATATTTTCTTTCATTCAAGGGCATAAAATTAATTTTTTTCCATTGATCTTAGTGATACCCTTCTTCAGAGCTGGATAAAAGATGGTTATTATCTCATTTATAGTCTTGGTTCAGGGAACATGTTTCAAATCAACAGAATTAGTAAAGCTGGACAGTAGTTTCGCTTTAAAGATTTTTTTCAATGTAAAGTATAGCTTCTTCAAAATTAGCATTCTTTTGGGAAATTTTGACTTGCTAAAATTAATTAATTTCCTCTCAAAAAAATCAAAATAAAATAATCGCTTTCTGGTCAGCCTCAGGCACACTGTGATTGCCTAAGCTGCCGTGAAGTCTTTTGGGGTCCATAACCTCTTTTGTGAACATGGGTACATGGTCAGACTCTCTCTCTCTAAATGCATTCTGATTTCTTTTTAACTAAACAATATAGTGCAGCTCATGACTGAAATGTTCTGAAAGAGATGTGGATCAGTCTAGGAGCTTAGTCCCTCAGAGAAGAATAAAGGAACATGACACCTGAAAGAGATGCGAATTTAAAAACGTAAGAATTTCTAACTGAGTCAGCCCAAAGACAGATTTAAGTCCGCTATCCTGTCTCTCTAACAGTGACTGGTAATGGACGCAAAAGGAAGGGTTAAGAATAGAACTTGTGTAGAATGGTCCTTGCACTGGTATATATATCTTCCTGATTTTGGCAGTGCTCCGCTTGATGCTTTGTTACTTCTATTACTGTACTATGGTACCATATGTAAATGCAATTTATTTTTACGTCAGTTTGACATTAAACTTTTTGTTTTGTTTCAGTGCTCCAGAATAGATTCACTCTAGTTAAGAATGTTGAGAAATTTTGTTTTATTGAAGAAAATTGAAATGTTGTTTACCAATCGTTATCTTGGGAGATTTTCATTTCATGAAAACTTTTAGTTTGATTTTTATCACAATACAGGTTGAAAACAGAAGTTGAAATATCCTTTTTTCCTTTAGGAAAAAAATTCCAAGTTTTGCTTAACTCTACATATTACACGATGTTTAATATATAGCAAATTGCAATAGGCATCAAAGTAAAATGGGGATGCATCCTTTCTGAAGAAAGCAAAGCCATTTTTATGATGATTAATGATGTTTTCATACAGTATTATAGGAAAAAAATTAGTTTATTTTAAACTACTTTTGGCATTTTCTTACAGTATGTAATACATTTGGAAAACATATGAAGAGGTTCACATAAATACCATTTACAATTAGGAGTATTTTATTTTGGAACATTTTGAGGCCACATTTTTTTACCTCAATGGCTGTTTTTCTGACCTTGCATATGAAATTGATAGCATATTCAGAATGCTGCAAATCAGAGGAATATATGTGAGATATTGGATTAAGCCACTTAGTTTTTACCTTTTAAGACTTTTATTCAGGTTAAGTCACAGAGGAATCGGTGGTGGTCTCACCTTAATAATTAGTGGACATTTACC